CGGCGCTGCTCCCGGCCCCCGGAGCCCTGCCTGGGCCCCAGCGGGCATGGGGGGGGCGGAGCCCACGGGACCCAGGACGACGCTGCGACTCCCCAGGGCCGCCCAGTGAGGCTGTGGACACGGCCAGGGCAGCGGGGCGCCCCCCACCCCCCAGGGTGTGCCTGCTGATAGCCTTTCCCGCTGGGTTTGGGGTCTCCGGCCCTAGAGAACTTCCGGCCTGGTGGGTGCGGGGCGCCTTGCTCTGCACCCACGGCCAGCGCCCTACTGCCGGTGTGCACACAGGAAGCCCCGCGGCCGGTGCCCAGGCTCGGGCCGGCCCGCCCGCCCCCGTGGCTGGTCTGCCCAGGGCAGAGGACGGCTTTGAGGCAGTGGGGTGCAGGGGCTTGGCGCTGCCGGCATCTTGGAGCCCCTCGCTGCTGCCCTTCGGACCGGGCGGCCCCCCAGCCCCCTCGAGCCCCGGCTCCTCAAAGAGAGCGCCTGTGGGAGCTTCTGCTGGCTCCAAGGCGGCTCTTCGGAAACGGCCTCTGCTGCCGGCCCGGGCCAGGGGCCCCCGTCCCACGCCGGGCCCAGGGGAAGGCAAGCTCGTCTGAGCCGACCTGAGCCCGCTCGCAGACCCAGGTCAGCGCCCACGTGCCGCCCCCACGGGGCCCATGGGCGCCCCCAGCCCTCACTCAGCAGGGGGGGCTGAGCCCCGGGGTCACCCCACCCCAGGGGGTCCCGCGACACAGACCACAGGCAGCGCCAGGGTCCCCTGCCTGTGCCGCCCGCGCACCCACCGCGCTGGTGCCCGGCTGGCCACACAGGCCACGCAGCGCTGTGCCGGGAGCCGGCCACCGCCTACGGGCAGCACGGCCCATGCCCTCGGGACAGGAGAGAATGGGGGGGCACCTGCCCAGCCTAACCCAGCCCCCGAAGGGCGCACGCATGGCGGGCGGCCGGAAAGGGCCCCCTGGACGCCAGAGCCACGGGAGGGGTCAAGTCGCCCCAGGCCCCGGCAGGTCGCACCCTAAGGCTCCGGGTTCCCGGCCCCACTCGCGCCGCCTGCCCACCCGCCCACCGCGGGGCAGCCAGGCCACACGGAGCCCCGCGCCTGGACGCCCACACCCATGCAGAGGCAGGCCGGACTGGCAGGGCAGTGGCGCCTTTATTAGCCCCGGCCCCCGCGGCGTCACCGCGCCCCGTCTCCGGGCGCTGGGGGCTGGGGGGATCCTGACTCCGGCCCCGGGGCAGCGTCCCCTGAGGCCTCGGACACCAGGGCCCGCCAAGAGCTCGGCCCCCCGGGTGTCAGGGAGGGGTGAGGGGGGGCCGGGGTCAGGGACACGGCCCGGGAGTCAGGCCCCGACAGAGTCAAGGAGGAGCCCCGGGGGTGAGGCCCCGATGGCATCAGGGACTGGGCCCGGGAGCCCCGCTGGGCTGGGGTCAGGGAGGGCGCCCGGGAGTGAGGCCTGGAAGGGGTCAGGGACGGGCCCAGGGAGTCCACCTCCGAGGAGACCAGCGCACCGGCCGGCGGCCGGAGGCCGGAGGCCGAGTGCCGGGAGGTCGCCGAGCCCGCGGGCGAGGACCGCGGGGACGCTTTCCCCGAGGTGGGCACCGAAGGGCTCCAGGAGGTCGCGCACAGCGAGTCCTTGGAGCAGACCAGGGAGCCGCGGCGCGAGGCAGG